CCCCCCCCCCCCCCCCCCGGAGACTCTTTTGCTGGGCTAGGCATCTTTTCCCCATTTCAAAACAGGGCCATGGGCCTCCTGGGAGTCGGGTGTCTCTCTTCTCCAGGCTGTCTGAGAGGCTGGTGCCCAGGGCCCGGTGTCCCCAGGACCTTGGATTGCTCACTGTGGCCCTCAACTAGCCACAGGCATTTCAAGTCTCTTGGGAGGCAGCAACCTTGTCAGATCCAGAGCTGCAGGATGAGTCTGAAATAAATCCTAAGCTGGGGCTGCCTAATGCCCAGCCCCAAGGGCCACTTTTCTTCCTGCTTGATCTAGAGATAGGGGGGAAACTCAGGCATGAATCGGGGGTGTGTGACTTAGACATTAGGGCTGGAAGGCATCTTGGAAGATCAAGGGCAGCCCCCTGCCCCAGGGCAGGAAGTCGGCTAGGGTCAAAGGATCCCAGTGAGAGACGAGTCCAAAGTAGGTACTTGCACCACCTTTTTGGGGGTAGTTTATTCCAGGCCTTGGGGGCTTGGACTGTAAAGAAGTCTTTCCTTGTGTCCAGCCTGAAATGTTCTTGGAGGAGTTTGTGACCACTGGACTTTTGTCATCCCTTGGGGCGCTCTGGTGAATATTCATTCCCCCAGATCCTGATGCTCACCCCTGATGTACTTGCACTTTTCTGTATTGAATGTTATCAGGCTCTAATCTGCCCACTTAAGCCTGTCCAGGTCGGCCTGGATCACCAGCCTATCCTTGGGTGTGGACGCTCTACCCTGAAGTCTGGTGTCGTAGGTGAACTTGGCCAGTGCGCTTCTGACACTGGTGTTCAACATCTTTATTAACAACCTGAAGAGAACTGGTCCAAGGACAGAGCCTTGGGGGACCCCACTGGTCACAGGGCGCCGTAATGATTTCACTTCCATTGACCACCACTCTCTGGGTCCAACCTCGGAGCCAATTCCCCAGCCATCGGACTGATGTAGCCGAGGAGATCACGAGACACCAGACTTAAAACCTTTGAAGTTCAGATATGACATCAATCTCTTCTTCCTCGTCCAGGTGATGGGTCACCTGGTCATAGAAGATGAGATTTGGGCAAGCCAGACCTACCCACAACAAACCCGTGCTGGCTATACCTAGGGATGTTGCCATCAGCCAGCTTGTCAAGAATGGTCTCTTTTTTTTATATTTTCCAAAAATCTTCTCCAGGGTTGAAAGTACTTTTTGCATTGCTGAATGACGTGCCAGCTTTGCAAGTGACCGGCTCATGGTCACTGTCTCCCAGCTTTCCTTTGATTTCTTAAGTTGCTGACTACATCATCTCCTTTGGCCAGTACCAGGTCCAGCAGCACTTTACCTCTTGTTGGTGCATAGACCTCTTGAGTCGGGTAGAGATCGTCCGTGTGTGCAAGGAGGCTTTGTGACTGCTCAGATTTGGCTGAGTGCTCTTCCCATGAGATGACCGGGTAGACAAAGTCTCCCCTGATAACCATGCACAGAGAGCGTGCAGCCTCAGCCAGTTCCCTTGCCAATTCCTGGTCCAGCTCTTGATCCTCAGTAGGAGTCTACTACAGACCTCCTAACATTGTGTCCCCTGTGCCACATTCCCCGTGTATTTTAACCCAGAGGCTCTCCAGTTGTCCCTGCAAGCTGACATTGGCACCCAGGGAGGACATGTAGCTGTCCTTGACAGAGTTACACCTGCACCCACCTCCTTCTTTCTTTTTTTCTGCACAATCTCTCCTGTACAGGGTATAGCCATCTATACCTGTGGCCCAGTTTTATAGGTGGAGTCCCACCAAGTCTCCATTATCCCTAATGAAGTTGTAATCATTTTTGTTTTAGCAGGAGGACCAGTTCCTCCTGCTGCTTGTTCCTCAAATTCCTGGCACTGGTGTACAGACACGTACGTGTCCCACTGGGAGCCGCAGGCTTTCTTGCACTCCCAGGAGGCTGCCGTTCCAGGGTGGGGGTAGGAGTGGGTTCCCATGAGTGCCCTAACCTGTTGGTTTTGTAGTTGTTGCCTAGTAGGCTTGCTTTAGTTGTCCACCCATCCCCCAGCAGCTTTTTAGTTTAAAGCCTGGTGAAAGTCCAGACTTAGCTCTGGCTGGCCAGTGGGACCGAGGGGTCCAGGCACCCTTTTGCTGCCCCTGGGTGTGCTAGCAGCTCCTGGCAGGTGTGGTGGGGCAGATGAACCAGATGCTGAGGGCCACCTCTCTTTTTCTTTTTTTCCCTGTCCCTGCAGATCTTTGAGAACAAGGGGGCCATGATGGGCTGCTCCAACCCCCACCCTCATTGCCAGGTAAGGGGAGGGTGCTGCAGGGGGCAGGGCCCCAGGATGTCTCCTGACCTTTCTTTTCCTCCTGCCAAGGCCTGCCCAGTGCACCCTCTGCTACTTACCCTGCTGGCCACTGCCCTGCTCTCCCTTCTCAGCCTGATGTTGGGGCCCTGATCTGACCATAAGCCCCCCCCCCCAGTGCATTTACCTTCAACCTGCTCAGAGCAAGGCGATGGGACAGTTGCTGTCAGAGTAGCCGCTTCCCGGCATGCACCTGGGCTCCTTAGCCCAATGGAGGGACTGTCCATGCTGCCACCCGCCTCTCTCTGCCTGTCGTGTGGTGGCCTGGCCTAGCCCCTGCCCCAGCTTTGCGCTCTGCCTGGGGTCCACGTGGGCCTCCTTGGCTGTGCTGGCACGTGCCAGCCTGGCGATCCTAGCCAGGATGGGGGTGCGTGTCCTGGAACCCCTCTCACTGCCCTGTTCAAGGCCACCGGCCTATTTGTGCATCAGGGCGATGCAAGCGATGACACGAACATAGCCGAACATAGCACAGTGGTGTGTTTCGTGACAGACCCCCGGGGGAAGGAAGCTGGGTCGGAGCAGCTGCTGGTAGCTGCAATGCACACGTCTTCCACCAGGGGTCAGCACGACCCCACGGATCAGTCCTGGGTGCTGCTGGCTCCGAGCAAATCCGGGCCTGGGTCCCGGGTATTAGGCTGGACCCCAGCGCCCTGTGGGGTGATCCTGGCCCCTGCATGCTGCCTGGGGGCCTAGGCTCTGCTGGCAGCTGAAGCCCTGTGCCCTGAAGGGCACCTCCCAGCCCTGTGAGCCCCCCCCCCCCCAGCATCCACCTGTCCGTCCCTGCCAGGTCTGGGCCAGCAATTTCCTGCCCAACGAGGCACGGCTGGAAGACCGGACACAGCGGGAGCACCTGCAGGCGCACGGCCAGCCCCTGCTGCTGGAGTATGGCCGGCTGGAAGCGCAGAGGAAGGTAGGGCTGAGGGGTGCAGGGTGGGTCTGGCTTGGGCTGGGGTGCAGGGTCCTGGCTCTGGAGGAAGTGGGTGGAGCCCTGGCTTTGGCTGGGGTGGGGGAGTTGAGGGCAGGGGGACTGGGGGTCTGGTTGTGGAGGGGGGTGTTAGGGCTGGGTAAGGCCTTGTCTGTGGGTCCTGGGTTTCTGGCCCTGGTGCCTGCTGCTTGAAGGGCTCCTGGAGCCCCTGCCCCATGGTGGTCTGTCCCCACAGGAGCGGCTGGTGGTGGAGAACACCGACTGGCTGGTGGTGGTGCCCTACTGGGCTGTGTGGCCCTTCCAGACCCTGCTCCTGCCCCGGCGCCACGTCACCCGGCTCCAGGACCTCAGCACTGATGAGCGAGATAGTGAGTCCCTGTCCCCTCCCGCCCTGGGGACTGTGGCTCCTGAGAGTAGCTGGAGCCTGGGGCTTGGCTCTGAGCTTGCAGGAAGGCCAGGGCTCTTGGCATCCAAGCAAGAAGGAGACCCCAAGGAAGTGACATTTGGCCTTCCTACCTCAGTTTCCCTGCCCATAGAGGCAAGGAGGGTGCCCCCTCCTAGAGGCTTCTGGGCTTATCCCTTTATCTCACCACTCACTCATGGGACCTGCAGTCAAGTCCATAAGTGATGGGCACTGGACTGTTAATCATTGTTGCCATCATTTTGGCTTTGGAGTGAACACCCCTGGATGAGGTGGGGGTGCAGGCAGCTCCTGGCAGTGGGGCCATGCTGAATGCTGTCCTGTACCCACAAAGGACTGGCAGTGATCCTGGAGAGACCCTCATAGATGCTGGGGTACCCTTCTCCTTCCTTTCCTGCTGGGTGGGGTGGGGTCTCTGAGCTGACCCCGTGTCCTTGTGTGCAGGCCTGGCGTCCATCATGAAGAGGCTCCTCACCAAGTATGACAATCTCTTTGAGGTCTCCTTCCCCTACTCCATGGGGTGGCACGGTAAGAGCTGGGGTGATGGGGGCGCTTCTGGTCCAAATCCAGCCTCCACCTGGAGGAGCAGGTGGGATGTGGGGTCTCCACGGGGCTGGACCCTGCTCAGTGAGCCCCGACTCCCAGCTGGCTGCTTCTGTAGCAGCTGAAGCCATTTGTGGGGATGTATTTGCTTGTGCCCAGACCAGTACCCACCCCCTGCTTCAGGCACCGTGGGTTTGAGACCCTGCTCTCCCTATTTCCACATCCTCCAGGGCACGGTGGTGCTGTGAAGGGGCTTGAGCCCAGGTGACCCCAATAAGCAGGCTCAAGCCCTATTGGAAGAAGGGACAGGGGGGCTGTGGGTCTGCGGGTCTGCCCTTGTGCCTCCCAGCTCTGGGCTTTCTGGCCTGCCCCTGTGGCTGGCAAGGAAGGGGGGCTCTGGTAGCCTGGCTCATGGCCTGTGTCCTCGGCAGGTGCCCCCACAGGCCCCCACCTGGGGGAGGACTGTGGGCACTGGCTGCTCCATGCCCACTACTACCCCCCCCTGCTCCGCTCGGCCTCTGTCCGCAAGTTCATGGTGGGCTATGAGATGTTGGCTCAGGCCCAGCGTGACCTGACGCCTGAGCAGGTGAGTGGGGGGAGCCTGGCTGGGG